CCTGTGAGCTTTTACTGCTCTATAGCCTTCTCCTAATGAAGCTGCAGCAATGTATCTACTTCCAAATGCTCTTGCTGATGAGGATGTTCCACTCAGTTTATAACAAAGTCACAATTTTTCCCTTTTGAAACCTCTCTTTTGATGATTAATATTTCAGCCCCTGCAGACTAGATTCTTCCAAAATAAAAAAGGTGGATGGGGCCCACCATTCTCTTTAAATATAAGCAGGGTCTTTTCAATTTATATGAGCTATTTTAAATCTGGGTATGTTTAGGGTAGCTTGTTTCTGCATGGGGGTACCAGTTTCACTGTTTAAAAATCATAACTCAAAATCTCTTTCTCCAGACATCCCCTAATTTGGCACAAAGCAATAGCAGACTGTCTAGTACATCTGTGCCACATCTGGTGCAGATCCAAAGTTCTTTTGATGATTAATATTTCAGCCCCTGCAGACTAGATTCTTCCAAAATAAAAAAGGTGGATGGGGCCCACCATTCTCTTTAAATATAAGCAGGGTCTTTTCAATTTATATGAGCTATTTTAAATCTGGGTATGTTTAGGGTAGCTTGTTTCTGCATGGGGGTACCAGTTTCACTGTTTAAAAATCATAACTCAAAAGCTCTTTCTCCAGACATCCCCTAATTTGGCACAAAGCAATAGCAGACTGTCTAGTACATAGAAAATGGGAAGAAGCAGAGATGCTCATATTTGGTTCTACTGAACATGACAATGGTTTCAGGTTGCACTTATGAATACTGTACCAGAATTTTTTTTTCTTTAAAGGTAGAATGACTTTTGGAAAGGTCCTACATTTTGCTCTGCTGCACAGTAACATAGTTGCACCCTCATGCAGCTATAGCAAAGGCAATACCTTTGATATCCTCAAAACAATGTCAAAAATAGTAAGCAAGCTTTTAGATTTGTCAGAATTCTTCATAAGGCTCCATGTTAAACAGCAATGGAGAGAGGAGTGTCTTAAGATGGAAAATGGGAAGAAGCAGAGATGTTCATATTTGGTTCTACTAAACATGACAATGGTTTCAGGTTGCACTTACGAGTACTGTACCAGAATTTTTTTCTTTAAAGGTAGAATGACTGATCCCCCACTTTTGGAAATGTTCTACAACTACAGCTGATGGGTATATCATACATAGTATATCTTTCATATCATATACACCTAAATTAAAGAATAATAAAAATAATAATCTAATTCTGAAGCAAAGTATGGATTGGTCTGATCAAAAAAATGCAAGATACAGTCTTAGTAAACCACAAGCTAAACATGAGTTGACATGTAGCAGAAAAAACAAATACAATATTAGGTTGCATCAATAGAAGTACTATTTCCATATCAAAGGAACTAATAATATTATTCTATTCTGCTTTGGTCAGACCTCACTTGCAATGTTGTGTCCAGTTCTGGGACCACAATTTATGAAGAACATTGAAAAGCTGATACATGTCCAAAGGAAGTTGATCAGAATGGTGAAAAGTCTGGGAACTAAGCCTTATAAGGAACAGTTGCTGGAATGGAGACATTTAGTCAGGAGAAGAGATGGGAAAACTGAGAGGTGATATCGTAGTCACCTTCAGTTTTCATATGGTTGATGAAGCAAGTTTGTTTTCTGGGGCACCAGAGAGTAGGACCCAACACAATTGATTCAAATTATGAGAAAGGAGATTTCATCTAAACTTTAGGAAGAATCTGTTGACAGTAAGAGCTGTTTGATCATGAAATGGACTGCCTCAGGATAGTGCAGTCTGCTTCACTGGGGGTCTTTAAACAGAGGTTAGATGGCCACCTGTCAAGCATGCTTCTGCTGTGGATTTCCTGCTTTGGCAGATGATTGGAGCTGGTGATCCTTGGGATCACTTTCAGTCTATAGCACAATGACTCTATGGTTTATTTAATAGTATGATAAGAATGTTATATTCTCCTGATCCTATGGTTTATTTAATAGTATGATAAGAATTCTCCTGATTGTCCTGTCTTGAACAGCCCTAAATAAACATTCAGCTTGCTTAGATGAGCAATAGAAGTAGGGAACGGATCTGAGTGCACACAGAAAACTCATCTCCAACATTACTGTCAGTCAGCTCCTGCTCTCTCTGTGAAAAGGAGAGATCTGAATGGAGCTTTTACTCATGTTTGCTTAAATGAGAGTAGAAACCCACACACAGCCAGGAAGACTGATGAAGCTGGTTCCTGGTTGCTTGGAGTTTTCTGCTCTTTTCAAAGCAAACCTCAGCAGAAGAGCTTCAGACCTACCACTTCAATGGAGGAAGACCGGGGACAAATGCATGTGGGATTTTGGGGCACGTCCACATTCTCTCTTCACTTTCACTCTCATGGGAGCAGGTCAAATGCCTTCATAGGGTGAAAGAATATAGAGAAAAGGGGAGCTATGAGGAAGAAAGAAGCATGCCATTCGTTTGGAGTTAATCTGAGGTAAGAGTAAGCCTAGAAGTTCAGACACGCACTATCATAACCTTGAAGAACTCTTGCCTTCTCTATGAGGCAAAGCGTTACAAATATTTGGTTTTGCAAGCATTCCTAAACCCCATAAGTACAAGCTGTTTAACAGTGACCTCTCCCAAAAAAGGTGACTTCTGGTGTGACTACACTGGAGTTTAACCTGCAGTTTGTGTTGGAGTTATAACAGTTAGAACTGAAGTGACGAATGACATAAAACTAAGGGCAGGGAACGGCCATCTTTTTCCATGGAAATTTGTTTCTTTTTGTTCAGCTAGCAAAGGGATGCTTTATTTTGCACCAATTCAGCTGTCATTGCTTTTCACAATCTTCTGGCATGTGTGATGGCCTGTCTCGATCCAAAGGACAGCTGCAAGCTTGTCCTACAGTGACAGTGATGTTGATGCTTCGGCATTCTACCCTTTGTAGCCATACCCTTAGAAAAACAGAAGACATTTCTAACCCTATCCCCCTAAATACATTAGTGCTTAAAAATACATCATTTCACTTCTATTTTTCCTGTCATATTTTAGTCGAAGCAGTGGATCAGAATGTCTCTTCCTCTTTCCTTCATGAGTAGGTCACACAGAAACCTTGAAAATATATAGTGAAGCAATATCGCTCTTATTCTAGCAAAGACAAAGGGTAGGAGACCCAAGTAAGGGAAAAGGGAGCAAACAAACAAAAAAGTCCATAAATGCAGGTGGATTGAACTAAAGTCTAAGCAACTTATCCCCCCTCTTATTTCTCATCTTTTATTTTGTTTGTTCTTTTCCGTGAAATGTAAATCTCCTTATCCGCTATTAGAATGGCTTATTACCACTGCAAGAGAGCTGGCCCAAAGGCAAGTAGACGTATGAAAAGAGATAAACAGACACACTGCATAAAACCTCAAGAGCTTCAACTCCCACCCATCTTTTCTCCCATGAACTCTCTTCTCTGCAATAAAAGTCAGGATGTTTTGTTCTTTCAGAAATCAACTGGGTATGAAGTAACTTTAGAAACAAAGGGACCCCGTTACACAAGGTGTCCAAGGGAGGTTTCCTAGAATGTACGGTACTCTGAATGAATATCCTAACTTTAACCATCTCCATCAGGAAACGTGTCTGTAATGTTGAACAGAACTTAACATTTTTAAGGCAACCTATTCAGTTACTGAACTGCTGCTAGGTCTACACTCTTTACATTTCTGAAATTAAAATGCCCTGCCTTTTCCCCAGCAGAAGCATGCACAAGGATTTCTCCTCCTTTTTGAATATGTTTTACCCAAAGAGTTAGAACCGACAATAAAAGTCAAGAAGGCTGGCAAAACTGTGCATTTAAGGTTTTTGCTTGCAACACCCTAGGATGGATCCAGTAAAGTGTACAGTTGCTTCCACAGATACCAGCAGCTTTTTGTCTTCATGTTTTGAGAGACACTTTCATGTCCTCGTCCTCCCAACTGCTGTTTGAAAGTCAGGACTATTCAGAACACACTGCGCACACACTGGGGCCTGTTACCAGATAGCAAACAATCACGTCCCTAGACACTAGGCTATGCATCTACAGAAGTACTCTTGCACTTCCATGGGTTTCCCTGGAAGCAGTGTCTCTCTCTCTATCTGCTATCCATTCATCCATAATCATGCATGCTATTGATACAAACAGGCCTACAATTAATTCACACACAAATATTCTGCTTCTTCCTCCACTTACCATTTATATTTCATCTTCCCCTATCCACCCTGTCACTACAATGCAACAATGCTGGTTCTCTATTTCTTTGGTCATCTTCCCACCCACAACTCTTAGCTTCTCCTCCTCCCTATTTTGTATATAAATATGCAGAGATACTCTACACAGTAAATCAGAAGCATAATCTGTAATATTCCACTGATAATCTATAATTAGCTGGCTGAATAGTTCAGTGAGATAGAGCACCTGGCTGCAGAGCCAGCGGCCAAGTGTTCCTCACTTTGCCTTGTAAAAGAAAAGCCAACCTGTGTGGTCTTGGTCAGGCTACATGGTCTCAAAGCAACCTCAGAAGAAATGAATGGTAAAACACTTCTGAGTACTCTATACCCAGAAAAGCATGGAAGGGGTTGTCATAAGTCAGAATGAACTTGATAGCATATAATTATTAACCTGTAATTATCCATGTATGTTATGAATAATATAGCTGTTAAGTACAGAATATATTTCAGAAAATATTTTCCATTTTCTACAGAGTCCCTAATACATATTTGTATCAACCATTTAATAATGCATTATCATACCACCCACTCAGTCAGATCTGAGGAATATTATGCAAAATAATGAATGTTGACAGTTTATTCAACTAACCAAAGGTTAATGGTGCGTACTCTTCAAACTCATGTTTTCAGTTGCCTTCTCTTTCATAATCTGCTTTCAGTGCTACAAAATGATATCCTGAGAGTGGCAACAGAAAAGAACTAGAAGTTTCTCTCTCTCTCTCTCTCTCTCTCTCTCTCTCTCTCTCACACACACACACACACACACACACACACACACACACACAAATACTTACTTTCTCTTTGGACTTGATTAAAGCAGTTAGATGTTTCAGAACCAAAGGGCCATCTATGCTGTATGCAAAGTTTACGTTTTCAAAGGCTATAACACCATCACTTGGCCAGTCCTGAGGTGGACGTTTGCTTGACTCCCAAGATGCTTCCTTCTCCACATCGGTGTATTCCATGACACGTTCTACTGATATCATCTGGGGAAAAGCAACAAAGTCTGGTTTGTGTTTTATTCAGTAAAATCAACAATAGTGTCTGCAGTCACAGGAGCTTGATTAGCTGACATTTAATTTTTCGGTCCCCCGTGATGGATTCACATACAAATGCTCTTCTCACTCTTATATTCTCTATCCATCTGATGGAATGCATTTAGTTTAATGAAGACTTTTGACATTTAGTGTTTCCAAAATTCTCTAAAAACATTCCACAGTTTTGGAAGATACATCTCATCTTTCTATTAATCCACTGCAATTTTACTCTACTTAAAACAACTCTTTGTTGTTCTCTCAAATTTGTATCACACTAATCTATAGCTAAGAATCCAAACTAGTGTCTATTTTATCATTCACTAGCCCTTACAAGAAGAACTCAATATAGACTGAATTCATTAACAACAACAACAACAACAACAACAACAACAACAACAACAACAACAACAGCGGCAGTAATATCAATAATGGCACGAATTTTTAAAACATTATTATACCCCCAAAAATTGCATGCCTTCAAACAACTATTGTGTTGGCAAATGATAGGTTTCTATACAAACTTAAAATTTAGCCTACTGCCCAGAATTCTACTGGTATTTTATGGTAGCATGAGAAAATATGCAACTTTTGAAAGCAAACTGCCTCAAGCTCAGAAATCACCAGATATGTTACCTGTTACATTCCAAGTCACACAACTAAGTATGTAACAGAGGATGGCTATTGGTGGTTTCTTAACTTGGGGCAATTTGCTTCCAAAAGTTACACCATTTTGCTTAATGCTTGTAATACCCACAAAGCAAAACTCTTGATAGTATATATTGGTGTTCATGTTGAATTTAAAGTTCAAGCCTTCCTATCCTATCCAAGGCTCCCAGGGGCACTCTTTTGTCATGGGGAAGCCTTTAGGAGCTTCTTGAGAGGTGTGTGTTGGGGAGCCTTTACGAGGCTCATAATAATCAAAAATTGCCACCGAATCCCCACTGGCGGTCTTGATTCCAGTGGCAGTAATCTGGCCTCCCTGGGGCAAAACAGAAACCACACAATTTGAATAATACTTATGCACTTTAAATTCTTCATGAGTTTTCAGAAAAGAATATTTGTGATTAAAAATACTTTGGAAACAAATGGTATTTCACTCTCAGTGATGAAATACTTGTAGCAGCTTAGTTTGAGCTTAAAAGAGATTTTAAAAGATTTTTAAAAGAACAAATGAATTTTACCAGGTTTTCAACTTCAGCGCTTTGTCGAACTCCCCATTGAAACATTCCCATAAGAGTAATCGCGTAGGACAAAGCTAAACCAACCTGTCCTGCATCGAGAGCTGTCAGGGGAGGACGAAGGCACATGTTTAGAATTTATTGCATTTTGTTTGAAAGTTTAATAATTTATTTAATACACGACTGAAAATACAGAACTTCAAAAATTATTTTGAACTTTATAGTCTCTAGGCACCTCTGTGTGTGTGTGCGCACATGCACGCACGCGCATGCGCAAACAAAGTACATGGAATTAAATGAAGTACTGTATTACACACAAAAGTAATTAAGGGCACACTTTGAAAATAATGCTTTAGATCAGTAGTCCCCAACCTTTTTAACTCCGTGGACTGATTGGGGAAGGCAGGGCACACCCACACTTGCGTGCATGCATGAAGGAGCGGGCGCACGTTTGCACAGATGTGCTCACATGCATGTGCGAAGGGTGCTCGGGGGACACTCATGCACACTCACGAAGGGGTGGGGTGGCACTCGCACGTACGCACGCACTCACATACATGCACAAAGGGGTCCCAGTCCGGCCCAGGCCACAGACCAGCACCGGGCCACGGACTGGGGGTTGGGGACCCCAGCTTTAGATGTAATATGTTAACATTATAAGAGTCAGTTTTGCACTAAAACAGGAGAAGCAAACCAATACGTCTGATCTTTTAAAAGTAACTTTTTGAAAATAATATTTTAATATTTTAAGTTAGGAAACAGTAACAAGTCCATAGGAAGTATACTTACTCTGTGCAAGAAGCAAAGAACCAAAGGCAACGACTATCACAAAGATGGCACAGATGGCATCAAGGCGTACAGCAAACCAGCGAGAGGTAGTCAAAAATAAGAACCAAGCTTCTAAAAAGTGTGAGAAAAAGGAAGGTCATAATATTAATTGTGAAGTACCATGCCAAACTCAAAAGAATAATGTAGCTGCTCTGTTTCAGCATCATCAAGCAGGAAACTGTGCCACGAAGTCCTTTACATAAGAAGGCAACTGGTACATCATGGCAATGTGTAGCAGTCATTTCTCAAACTTCCATTGCTATACAGACTCATTGCCTCAAAGCTGCCCCTTCCATCGTTCTTTATGTAAAAGGTTAGGAAATGAGAGAAATGGGTGCTTGGGTGTCTCTGCACCCCCAGTACCCAATGTAGGAGTACAGTGGTGCCTCATGTGACGATGATAATGTGTTCTGTTAAAATCGCTGTTAAGCGAAATCGTCATCAAGCGAAATTAAAAACCCCACTGAAATGCATTGAAAACCATTCAATGCGTTCCAATGGGCGAAATACCTCATTGTGCAGCGAAGATTCTCCATAGGGCAGCCATTTTCTGGTGCCTGTATAGTGAGGAATCCGTCCTTAACACAGTGGGGAGCCATTCTGCACAGCGGGCGGCCATTTTGAAACTGACAATCAGCTGTTTTAGATCGTCGTAATGTGAAAAATCGATTCCCGAAGCAGGGAACCGATCGTCGTGAAGTGAATTTTCCCCATAGGAACATTGTTTTGCGATCGCAATAACAATCGCAAAAAACCCACTGCAAAGCAGATTTGTCGTTTAACGAGGTAATCGTTAAGCGAGGCACCACTGTACTATCCACCTACATTTTGAAGCAGTATAAACCAGTGGTCATGCCGTGTGTTTCTGGACTGGGAAATATTTTCTTCAGCTCTTTCCAAACCTGAGTGAAGATCTTGGTGAGCATCAAATAGTTCTTGGAATCTCTGTTCTGCTTTAAATGCACGAATAGTCCAGAGCCCCTGGAGAGATGACGACAAATGAGAGAACACCGGACTTCGAGCTGAAAAATAGAGGTTTAAATGATATTATCTCTTTAATCCTACTATAGACATTTCTGGCACTGAACCTTTTCAAATAAATGTGTGGTATCTATCACTCAAAAGAATTTTTCCCTCCAAGTTTACATTAATCATGCTTCTTTTTTAAGCTGCAGGAACACTCCTGAATATACACACAGCTCTCCTCCTTGTCATTGCCTCTAAGGTAAAGGTAAAGGATCTCCTTGACATTTAGTCCAGTCGTGTCCAACTCTAGGCATGGTGCTCATCCCCGTTTCCAAGCCAAAGAGCCAGCGTTTGTCCGTAGACAGTTTCTGTGGTCATGTGGCCAGCGTGACTAGACACAGAACGCCATTACCTTCCCATCAAGGTGGCACCTATTTATCTACTTGCATTTTTACATGCTTTCGAACTGCTAGGTTGGCAGGAGCTGGGAGAGGCGACAGGAGCTCACTCTGTCACATGGATTCGATATTACGACTGCTGGTCTTCCGAACTTGCAGCACAGAGGCTTCTGTGGTTTAACCCGCAGCACCACCATGTCATTGCCTCTACACAGGTTCCAACCAATGAACTCATTCAGCTCATCCAGCCCACACAAGTTCATACAGGAGGTAATTCAGTCCAAGACCTGAAGTCAGTTCCTCATCTTTGCATTATTAATTTCATTATCCATCTGCGCCAGCACTAAATGTGGTTAATGTTAACCAGGTCTGAAAATATATATAGGAAGATGGAGAACGAAATTAGACAGAGCCTTGGAGTAGTTACGTTTTCAGACTACAAGTCCCAGAATCCCCCAGCCAGCAAAGCCACTGTGCAAAAAACAAACATTTTCCAATCCCTGTCCCTGAATTATTAGTAATATAATAGCATCCCAAACAATGCCAAAATCTTTAACAACGAGTTAGATGAAAAAAAATACATACTTGTGGATTCCAAACGCTTAATATCTCTTGAGGTATCCAAGAAATACCGACGAAGAATGATGAAAAGAATAAGAAGTGGAACTAAAGGGATAAGAACCCAAGGAATCACCGCAACGGCCACGGCTACCACGCCACAAATCTGAAGCAGAGTCTGCAACAACAAAATCACAAAGAGAGCCTGAATGTTTTCTCCCCCAAAAAGCCTTCTTTTCATTTATTGATTTTGAAAATGTAATGTGATTATTTAAAAGCAAACTGAAGATACCATTAGCAATATTGTGCCTTATATAAAAAAATATTTAGACAACGAACTGCCCAAGATGAATTTTTCAAGTTTTACAAAGCTGAACAGTATTCAGATAACCCAAACCATGTGCCAGCAAAAACAGCAATGAAGACAAATTATTTTCCACATCATATCCTTGATTCTACTCTCACCTCAAAATGAAACCGATTAGGTGGCTTTAGGCAAATTGCCAAGGTTCAGTACCAAGACTGCCCACTTTTGTCCCAATCTGGGGTACTGAGGATACTGAAGACTTGCTTCAGGAACTGGGGAATACTCTGATTGCTTTAAAAAAAACAACACTTAAACACTAGGGCAGTGGTCCCCAACCTTTTTTCTGTCCACGGACCGGCTGGGGAAGGCAGGGCAGCCCCCACGCATGGATGTGTGAACAGTGGCGCAGCGCTTATGCGGAGGTGCATGCACTTATGGTGGCACGGGGCTTGTGTGGGTGCTCATGCGCAAACAGCGCCGCCACTGTCTGCACATGTGCACGAGTGCCCCGTGCCCGCACAAGTGCTGCGCCTCTGTTTGCGCATGCGCGCACACAGCCGCAAACAGCCTTTGTGGGGTTGAGTGTGTGCAGGGGGTGGGGCATATCTTTGTGGGCCTCTGGGCTAGGGAATGTGTAGTACACCATACGATCTTGAAATCTTGTTCTCATCAGCTGTAGCAAACCATGGGCAAAACCCTGTTGCGCAACTTTGCACCCAAGTATAATCCAGAGCATATGGAAACATATATTTTACACTAAATAAAAGTCGTCTGCCTCTGTTTTGGCTTCTGAGGCTCCCTAGGGTTTTTTTTTACCCTGAGGAAGCTTTTGGAAGCCTTGGGATGGGGAGGGGGAAGCCACTGAAAGTAAAAAAAAAAAATCCCCACTGATGGAACTGGGACTGCCGCTGGTGATATGGTGACTTTTTTGACAAAGGCTTCCTCCCATCTCGAGGCTCCTAAAGCCTTTCCCAAGATGAAAGGAGGTGGAGGTCTTGGAACCTCCACTGGGGGTGAGGGACAGATAGGAAGTTTTTAGTTTATGTAATGTTTTTGGTGATCTCGGTTATACCAGATGCAAATTTAAACAACCGGATTTTGCCCAATAAACGATGATGGAAGCTGTAGTTCATGAAAATCTGGAGGAATGAACTTCTCCCACCCCAGAAGCCTTAAGGAAATAAAGATGTGGATGGTTAGTTGAATTCAGTCTATCAGATTCACATTCCCGACTCTCATTCTTCATCATCCACAACAGGACACAGGACACAGGACAAGCTAAAGCCACAATAAGTTCTCCCACCAGGTTATAGATGAAATGCCAAGCAAGCCTATGCCTCCATTATACATTGGCCTAGAGTTCTACTCCGTGCCCCACCCCCAACCTCCTTTATCAACAACTTCCTTTCTGTATATAATGCAGAGCTCTCCATGTTCCTATGCCTTATCTGGTGTGTTGCCTCTGCCCTGGGTTCTCCCAGGGCTCCGCTTTTATCCAGTTCTCTACTATTTTCCCCTTTGGGGCTCAGTATTGCAGACCTCTGCCTCCTTTACCTCATCCCTCCTCAGCCCCCAAGCTGCTTGGGCTGCAACTCCAGTCATTCCTAAACTAGAGCTGGGGCTGACTGGACATGCAGTCCAAAGCATCCAGATAATAGCAAATTGAGAAAGTCAATGGGAGTATAAAAATGCACATGTAACCTTTAAAAAAACTTGCTGATTTGGAACACTAGTGATAAGCAGGGAACAAGAACTATGGGAAGAGAAGTGATACTATTCTGCTTAGGTGTACGTACCAGAAGTCAGCCGGGGCAAAACTAAAGAAGAGGAGGAAAATTGTTAAGATGACTAAGATGGATGTCTGGCTCCATCTTTGGAAGAAACTTTCGATAAGCATTCACCACCATTATTAACATGAAATTTATGACAGGGTGGATCACTCTAGTATGCATATGTTTTGAAAAGCCAGACTTGAATACAAATGAACTCTTAATGAAATAGTCTCAGAAGGCAGACACAACTATGCATCCGTGGCAGCCCAGCCCTCTTTTATATATACATATAAAGTAAAGACATCTAATTGCTTGATTTCTCAACTGCTATTTCACCTATTCAAATTGAAGAGCATCCTTGGAATACAGATAGAAGCATTTCCCACATCACTGTAATGGCAATGCCTGGAATGTGAAGGATTCTGAGTACTGGAGTTAGCAATGAATGCCATCAAAGGTTGAATGCTATCAAATTTAAAAGATGACAACAGAAGTTTTGAAGAAATTTTGAAGAACAACAAAGAATTTTTCTAAGATTTTCTTCAAAAACACCCCAAACATGCATGATTCATTTCCACTTTAAAAACTCTGCCATTTGAAAAAGATGGGGGTAAAACATGTACTAAATATGCAGCATGCAGTTGATCTCCTTATTTTTTGTTCCGCATGCTAGATTCCATTCTAGATCGGGGGGGGGCACTGTGGCCATGGAGGAAAAGAGAGGTTTAAACCTCCCCTCACAGTCACTTCTTCCCCAAAATCTACCTACCAACTTGCAGAGGATAAAAGGAAGGAAGCCCTCCACTGGTATCTCCAATGAGGGAGGAGACATTTGGGGAAGAAAGATGTGGGGCAGAGTTCTAAACCCCCTCTTCCCTGCTACATTCCTCTATCTGATTAGAGGTCCATTTGCTTACTTGATGGAGAGAAACAAAGAGCAAGTCAGCTGCCACATTTCACGCAAGGTACCGTTTCACCTGAACTCTTTATAAATGACAATCATGTGTCTATTTACAGGCCTATTCAGAGCACCACTATCTACCGTATATCCTTTTGCCATTCTCAAGAATACTCTTTCTTCTGCCCATCATAAGCCCATTATCTTCATGGCCAACAAGGAAATAAATCTCTGCTGCTATCGATGGAATACAATCTAGTGAAAGGCTTCCCTATAAGGCACTATATCACTTTTGAAATCTCATGAAAAGCAAGTTTTTTTTTAAAGGACTATTTAAATCCCATAGAAGACATACACATAAACCTAGAAGCACATTTTAGGAGACTTCTCACCCCCCCCCATTCATCCGAGATAAATTCTTGTCTTCAGATTCATTTAGCTTATTTATACATGTTTATGCTTTAAGACAAAACGCTGGTAAACATATCTCTGCAATTCAAATTATGCTTGAAGAATTCTTTTCCCGGTTGAATCAAAAAGTGAAATCTGAAGTCTCTTTTTGCCAATCAGAAAAAAGAACCCTACATTGTTTATAAGCACACAAGTCATATCTATATATATCAATAGTTTAAGGCAATCTAGGAGATTTGTACTTATCACTGTTTAGAACAGGATTGTTACACTCTATGACTGACAGGAGAATTAAAAGATTTGTAGTAGCTGAGAAGGTGTTAGAAATTTTAATGACCTTGCTTAGACTTTTCTTTCCTCCCTGACCCAACTCCTCCTGTCAGGACATTGTGTTACAAAGGTGGCAATGTCTTTTAAGGAATAAATGCCACCGTCTTCAGCAAAAGGAAATTCAGAATGTAAGTAAATAAACACAGGGACATTTCCAGTAGCAGGAGTGATTCAAGCTGATGTATTTAATGGCCACGTTAAATGAGTTACATGTCTGGCTGAGAGTATGATTCCCCACAGTGCCTCCTGGGCGAACAGCCAACCTGCATAGCCTAGGCTAGGGCAAGCTGCATAGTCCCAGAGCACCCCTGGAAGAAGGGAATGATAAACCTGAGCAATTTATACCTAGGAAACCCTGGAAAGAGTCACCATAACTCAGAAGTGACTTGATGGATAATTATGATGATAATGATTCAACTACACCAACATTAGGTTTGCATGAAAAACTAACTACAGTGGTGCCCCGTACAGCGAGGTTAATCCGTTCCGGATTAACCTTCGCTATATGAAATCTTCGCTAAGCGGGAAGTAAAAAGCCATTGGAACGCATTAAACTTCATTTAATGCGTTCCAAATCGGCCCTAAACTTCCCACTTAGAGAAGTTTCCTGGCCCCGGGCAGCCATTTTCGCGCCCTCCCCTCGCTTGCCGAGGGCGCGAAAACGCGGCGCGGGGCCATTTCGGGTCGTTTTGAAGCCGCAAAACAGCGTTCGGCGGCTCCAAAATGGGCGCCGGATGACCCGAAATGGCCCCGCACGGCGTTTTCACGCCCTCCCCTCGCTTGCCGAGGGCGCGAAAATGGCTGCCCGGGGCCAGGAAACTTCTCTAAGTGGGAAGTTTAGGGCCGATTTGGAACGCATTAAATGAAGTTTAATGCGTTCCAATGGCTTTTTACTTCCCGCTTAGCGAAGATTTCATATAGCGAAGGTTAATCCGGAACGGATTAACCTCGCTGTACGGGGCTCCACTGTAGTTAGTTTTTCATGCAAACCTAATGTTGGTGTAGTTGAATCATTATCATCATAATTATCCATCAAGTCACTTCTGAGTTATGGTGACTCTTTCCAGGGTTTCCTAGGTATAAATTGCTCAGGTTTATCATTCCCTTCTTCCAGGGGTGCTCTGGGACTATGCAGCTTGCCCTAGCCTAGGCTATGCAGGTTGGCTGTTCGCCCAGGAGGCACTGTGGGGAATCATACTCTCAGCCAGACATGTAACTCATTTAACGTGGCCATTAAATACATCAGCTTGAATCACTCCTGCTACTGGAAATGTCCCTGTGTTTATTTACTTACATTCTGAATTTCCTTTTGCTGAAGACGGTGGCATTTATTCCTTAAAAGACATTGCCACCTTTGTAACACAATGTCCTGACAGGAGGAGTTGGGTCAGGGAGGAAAGAAAAGTCTAAGCAAGGTCATTAAAATTTCTAACACCTTCTCAGCTACTACAAATCTTTTA